ACAAGAAAACATTCATAATCAGTTGAGACCGAGTGAACAAACCAAGTGGGCTGTGCACTTGCTCCAAACCGAGTGAGATGAAGCCAATTGAGAGGGATTTGAATCCAGCCCTTTCGGACCAGACCAACTCGGTCGAATCTTTAAATAGTTACGAACCAAAGCCCATCACTTTACGAGCCCAAACTTAAAAAAAAAAACACTACCCTTTTCAACAGATCTAGCCCTTCCCGTTTACATTTGGTTCTCTGCTTATCAGACAAGTCTCTCTCTAATTTTCTCCATCTCCGGCGAAACCATGCCTTCCGTGACCACCAAATTCGCCGGTAAACTCGCTCTCTCTCGAGAAATCTCTCGAACATTGTTTGTCTAAATCTCGATCTGATTGTTTGTCTAAAAACCTCGCAGAGGCTAAGACAGGAGTCTTCTGGGACGTAGAGGATTGCCCAATCCTCAATGGTCTCGATCCTCATTCTGTTTATCAGAACATCAAATCAGCACTCGCGAATCAAGGTTATCTTGGTGAAGTTTCGATCAATGCTTACAAAGGGAAGAAGACGATCCGAAATGACTTTGAACTCGCCGGAATCAACTTGATAATCGCAGGTGAATCCAAATTCCTTCACTTTGAATAAACCCCTCTTCAACACTCACTCTTGTTTCAACACAAATCCTCTTAAGAATCCAAATTTCTTGGTTGCTTATGTCCGTAGCTTAAAGATGATGTTTTTTTTTGTTTCAGGAGATAGACATGGAAGATTTAAAAACATGTTTGAGGATGTGCTTTTCTGGATGTGTGACCATCATGTATCAAATATGTTGATTATCTCACGAGACAAGACGAATTACACCTCTTATCTCCAAAAGTGGAAGGCCAGAGGTTTCAATATCCTCTTTGCAGAGCCTGAAAACCCACCGGCAAAGTGTTGCAACTGCGGCATTGCTTTGGACAAGCCGGTCATTGGAAATGAGCGGATCATCCAAAGTGAAGAATGGGTTTGGACGAGCCTCGCAAATCGGAGGAGACCCTTTCACCAAAACCAAAAAGCAAGAGTAACATTTACCTTAAGTTGGAAACCTGATAGGCTTTTATTATTGTTGTTGATTAAGCTCTGATTTAACAATCTAGCTCTAGATAATTCCTCTCAAGTACATTGTCAGTAAAGTAGTTGGTAGGTACTTTATTAGTGTTGTGTGTGATTATGTTAATGGTAGGCCAAAACCACATTGTTATGCAACCATCTTCTTATTTCATATCATAAACCGTATAATCACAGCTATGCAGCTTCTCCAAAACACAAAAGAGAGCACATAAGCAGCTTCCATTTTAAGCTTTGAGCATTTGTAGATAATCATCAACATTGCAGATGATGGATATCCCGAGCCAAAGAGGTTATAAATGATTCAAGTAATGATACATCAAACACAGATCCCTCTTCTCAAAATCCTGGTTGTTTTGGCATTACCTTGAGGATGTCAAAGAAACAAAACAACTGTGTATTATAAACAAAGAACCATCAAACTGGATTTAGTTGATGCAGAAACTGAGAGCAGAGGAA